CTAGCTGTACAAATTTCCCTCCGGGCTGGTGTGCAGTGTGCCAGTTCTCAGATCACTGAGCCGAACTGCGCAGTATTCCATGGATGGCTGTGGAGTTACGCCAGGGCTGAATTAACTACGCCACAAGCAAATTTGGAGAGAGGCGGCAGGGTGAAAAGGATCTCTTTGAATGTTTTATTTTAAATCCTAAGTTACAGGAGGGTGAGTCAGTGGCACAGCCTGGAACACGAGGCAGGAATTGTGGTTTCTAGCCTGGTTCCCTATTCACTGGCCCACACTAAGCCCATCAGGCTCAGCATTTACTCTCTAGGAGCGGAGGCTCCAGATTAGGGTAATTTGTATTTAGGGACTTTAATAAATGAGTACTAGTTACCCAGTGGGTGACGTCGCTGATGGGTCACCCATTCCACGGGAGGATGGTTTTAGTTTGTTTCCAAAAACTGTCGGGAGAGATTGTGAAGTTTTTCCATCAAATAGCTCTTTCCTCTATGAATGGTCCCATTCAAGTCAACGGGGCTCTTTGTGGAATAAGGGGTGTGTAAGGGTGACAGAAGCTTGGCCCAGGAGCTGGGGTTAAGGGTCCTGTCTTCAAAAAGCCGTGCCTAAGTTGTGCCTGTTAAAATATGCAGCTGTCTGTGCATTTTTAATCCGGTGCAATTGACCGTTGGCATGTGCAAGTGCATTTGGTGGATGCAATTTAGGAGCAGTTTAGAGTCCAGATCGTTTGAAGGGCTGAGGACCCTCAACTCCCTTTGAAGTCAATGGGAATTGTGATTGCTTAGAACCCCTCAGGAGGTGCCGAGCATGTTGCTGCCAGAGGAGACGCTTAGGAAGGGTGCGGTGGGCGGGTGGGAGTTGTTTCCACATCCTTGGAGTGGCAGGTCCAGGGGTTGGAGAAAGCAGGCCTCTCCCACACTGCTTGGCTGCTGGGAGCCACAAGGGTTCCTGGTTCATTGTCTTGGCCCATAAAGCACAAATCTGTCCCAACTCTTGCTTCAGCTGGGGAAGGCGAGCTCATGGCGCATCTCCACGGCAACCAGTCTCTTCTTCCCCGCAGGGTTGGCTGGATGCAATTGTATACGTGCGCCTGCAGCTTGTACTTTGGCCTGAAGAGGGGGAGAGGATGGGTCATCAGGGCTCAGCACCTTTGAGGGGGAAGAAGCTATGTTTACACCTCCCCTTTTTAGCATTCTCAGGAGAGGCAGTGAATGGGTGTCAGTAG